CCGTATTTGAATCAAATTGTTTCAATGACGTTTAATTATTAAACTGGACATTAACTGTTTGATAAAGACTACTGGATTATAGTTGAAACGTCGCTAGGTTATAAACCTCAGTAATTGTATTCCATCTAATTGTAACCTTATAATCCTTGATTGGCATTGAAACCTATAATCCTTAATAACCCGTGTATGTGATACACGATACACTTCCATAATAATAATAATTTTTGTTTTCTTTATTTTACAGGAAGCGATATTTATAAGCATCTTCATGCTTGTTTTCGGATCCTACTGTACATACTGGGTTTTTTTTTTTAGCTATAATTAAAATTGTAAACATTGCAAATAAATATTATTTAATCCAATTTATTACATATATTTTGTTTGTTTTTTGTTTGACGAGCGGGATTCAATCCGTATCACGTATTTGAAACATCTCTAGAAAACAAAAATCATTTAGTATGGATATATTTGGTATATTTACATTTTGTTTTACGAGTATATATTGTAATTTGAAATGAAATGAAATGGAACGAGGTTCTACGTCGTCCTTTTTAGAACCAACGGGGCTAATGAAGACGGACATATGCCATGCACGTTCTGCACGCAGAGAACTATAACTACTTCGAGAATAGATCTCTGCCCTAAATGGCCGCCATGCAAAAATTAATATATTGTTTTGTAATGAGGTCTTACTCAAGTTCACATCTGTTATACACAAAAGGACTAATTAAACTTTTTCAATTTTAATAAATGAAAGCAGAGTAATATATACTTCTCAAAATTCTCGAATATGCTTAGTGTTTTCGACTAAATTCGTCGATTTAGGACTTAAAATGTCGGTTAACTAGCTTAGTGTCTGTTCTTAAACGCGGCTAATTGTAGAAGATGGGATAAGTTTAGTATGTCGCCACGCAGTGAGGGATATTTTGACCGGACAACGGCGTTACCGCCTACTATATATAATAGTCTAATTCCAGATGCCAGGAGTTCTGTTGCGTGCATCCGACCGACTGTCACTGGACGCCGTTCTTTGACAAACCCTCCGTCCAGCACCGCTGACAAGGGCGTACCACAGCGAAAACTCCCGAGTAACTTTCTCGGCCAACACCGGTATCGAACCCAGTACATCCTGGTTTAGTAGTATAATAAAACAAAGCCTATTGTTGAAAGGCAATTAAGCCATATTATACATTATCTAAAATTTCATCAACTTTCATTACTCCGCACTAAAGTAAAACGTTATACCCCAGGCCATTTCACAGCTCATTAATTAATAATAAAATTTAAACAGAGTTTAGCTAAATGAACACCCCCATAATACAGTCATCTGCCCGAGAACTACTATTGGTGTTACCCCTGTCAGTTGTGTCCCACGCCGTCCATAATACAGTCTCCTCCCAGAGAACTACGAACGCAGGCACTATGCCCGTCATTCGTGGTCATACATCGTCATAATGCAGTATTATCACAGAGAGAGAGAGAGAGAGAGAGAGAGAGAGAGATGGGGTTTAACGTCCACTCGACACAAACTAGGTCATTTCGGGACTAACATATGGTTTAATTTTATTTCAATAATTCGCTTGTGCGTAGGGGTCTTTAGCGGTGGGAGGAAACCGGAGGACCCGGAGAAAACCCACGAGGTTGGACAGGCGACCCTACTCCTTGTCACGTACAACCGGGGATTCGAAACCACACCAGCTGACTCAATGACAGGTCGTATGATACAGCACGCACGTGCTAACCATTCGGCCATCCAACCCCCCTTATCACAGAGAACTACTAATGCAGGTGCTACGCCCTTCATTCGTGGTCCTACACAGTCATAATGCATTCTCATCTCACAGAACTACTAATGCCAGTGCTACACCCTTCATTCGTGGTCTGATACACTGCCATAATAAAGTCTTCTCCCAGAGAACCGATATTCGAGGTGTTACAGCATTCGTGGTCCCACATCAATATTGCAGTCTTCTCCCGGTGAACTAATAATGCAAGTGCTACGCCCTCCATTCGTGGTCCTACACACTGCCATAATAAAGTCTTCTCCCAGAGAACCGATATTCGAGGTGTTACAGCATTCGTGGTCCCACATCAATATTGCAGTCTTCTCCCGGTGAACTAATAATGCAAGTGCTACGCCCTCCATTCGTGGTCATATACACTGCCATAATAAAGTCTTCCCCGGAGAACCGATATTCGAGGTGTTACAGCATTCGTGGTCCCACATCAATATTGCAGTCTTCTCCCAGAAAACTACTAATCGAGCTGCTACGCCCTTCATTCGTAGTCCCACCTAGCAATAATGCAGTCTTCTCCCGGAGACCTACCAATCGAGCTGCCACACCCTTCATTCGTGTTCCCAGGTGTGAACTACCTGTAACTATGATATAACACATGAAGTGCATGTGAAGTATAATCCCCCATAAATCATATTATTATCTCATATGATTGTTTATGAAACCTTATATGACATGGCAGGTATAATGAATCATTTATTCAACATTTGTAATCACGATATCGCAACATTCTTCACACAGAGATCTAACTACTTTGGAAATAGATCTCTACCATGAATGGCCGCCATAATAAAAAAAATAATTTACTATTTTGTAATGCGGTTCCATTTAGTCAACAGGTTCATCCATTTGTTATCACGGTACCGCGACATTCTGCACAGACCTCTACCCTGAATGGCCGCCATTATCAAAAATAAGTTTTCTGTTTGTAATGAAATGAAATGAAATGGTGTTTAACGTCCTACTGTTCTGCTCCTAAACTGGGCTAATGAAGACGGGCATACGCCATACAGTGTGCGATGAGGGAAATTTTTGCCCAGGCAGCGGCACTACGGCCTACTCTTATATTGCCAACTGCCAAGGGATCTTTTACGTGCACGCCAATGTGTACACGGGACCTCGGTTTTTCGTCTCACCCGAACGACTAGACAGCTGTCCTTGTCAGACCCTCCGTCTCGCATCACTGACAAGGGGGGACCACGCCGGAAAATCTGGATGAACTTTCTCAGCCAATGCAGGGATCGAAAACCCGACCTCCTGCCAGCGAGCCAGCGCCTTACCTACTCAGCCACCGAGATCCCCGAAGTTTGAGGGATATCATGGCAAAACAAGATGAAATGGTTTTATTATCCTTTTAATCCAAGTCGGGAGATCATCTACCGTTGATATTTCATTTTCTTAATTATATGTTAAATAATCAGCGTGGATTAAGCAGGCAAAATCTGCCTAGTGCAGGTCTTTCTTTAGGCCAGAAATGCTATCTAAATTATTAATTAGACATTAATTAACTTACAAAGACCATAATCGGGGGGCTGCGATATAAGTAGGTTTAAATACGTGTGTGGTCGATGCGGTTACCGTAAAATAGATAATCGAGACTTTGTTTATTATCGTAACAACGGGAGTAATGACAATCGAGGCTAGGCTTTATATGTACCGGCGTTATCTAGGCTCAGAGTGAAGTCATTTGACTGTAATTTCCAATATATTCTCTTTTCATTTTAACTATCATAGCGAGAACTGTCAGCTATTTATCTAATCTTACCTAATCAGCGTGGATTAAGTCTTAAAAAATAGGATATTATCCGAAAAATACGAATGACGAATGTGCAATAAAAATAGCTGATGGTGATTATTTTCCTTGTGTTCAGCTACTTATTCCCATTCTTTTGGTATTCTCAATGTAAGATATTCAATATTTAGCCTAATACTTTTATTAGTAGCCTAAATTTCCCGTCTGTCTCAAAGTGTATTTGGTTGTTAGTAATTTTATAGGTGGTTTCCTATTGTCAATGGTGTAGATTCGGGGCACGGTGGCAGGACAGCCCGTGTGTCTAGTCTTTCGGATATTACGAAAAACGAGGTTCCGTGTATACATTGACGTACACGTAAAAGATCCTTTGACAGTTGGAATTCGATATAGGCTAAGGGTATGCCATAGAGTCGGTGCCCAGGCAAAATTTCCCTTATAGCACACTGTATGGCGTATGTCCGTCTTTATTATCCCAGTCGGAGCAGAACAGTAGGACATAGGGATAAACCCCATTTTATTTCATTCCAATTCATAGATACAAAATAACGAATGACGAAACACGATTTCACATGTTGCTTCATTTTTATTTCTTTCTCTTCATTCCGGTCTCTTTAAGACCGCTTTTTAAAATAAAGTGAAATGAAATGAAATGAAATGGGGTTTAACGTCCTACTGTTCTGCTCCAAACTGGGCTAATGAAGACGGGCATACGCCATACAGTGTGCTACAAGGGAAATTTTGCCCGGACAGCGGCACTACGACCTACTCTTAGGCTATATTGAATTCCAACTGTCAAGGGATCTTTTACGTGCACGCCAATAGCCTATGTACACGGGACCTCGGTTTTTCGTCCCATCCGAATGACTAGACAGCTGTCCTTGTCAGGCCCTCCGTCCTGCATGACTGACAAGCGGGAAACCACGCCGGAAAATCTGGATGAACTTTCTCGGCCAATGCAGGGATCGAACACCCGATCTCCAGGCTAGCGAGCCAGCGTCTTACCCACTTAGCCACGTGATCCCCCCTAACTATAGCCTGTTCTATTTGTAAGGACAGCGGCTTATTAATTTTTAAGGGCGAAGACTAGGGGCCAGGGTAAATATCTCAAAACCAAATGTTCCAAGTACTTTATAAAGAGTGCTGCGTGTCAATATTATAAGATTAAGAACTGTTGGCTATCCCGTATCCGTCAATGTCGCCGGATAATGAAAGTTGTCACCTAATGTTCCAAATAATTTTTAATGCAAGACTAGAATTGAAATTCATCGGTTAAAACTGGCATTTCAGCTAGTATGTCTCTTGAATCATTGCTTCTTTATATGGCTAATATAATTCTACAAGAGAAAATTGTTAAGTCTGCACGTGTTTTGCGTCGTCTGCTACAAGGTAACACGGTGTTATTATTTCGTCCAATCAAATCACGTTCCTATAATAACTTCTCCTGTACAATCAAAAGAAAATGGCGGAAGTCGATCCCGATTGCAATCCAATCCAGCCCCTTTTAACCAAGGTAGCTATTTATTTCTTTCTAATATTTATCGTAATAGTTCGGATTTGACCCCGGATTTTATTTGGCAACATTTTTGGGAAATTATGTTTTCAGGAAGGCAAATATTTCACAAGGTAACACGATTTGTTGAATGTTCTTTGAGATTGCTCTAACATGTTTTGATAAACAAACAGGAACAGGAGTGACATTCCGATATGTAGTATTTCGTAATAGCGTATGGACATTAAGGATTAAGAACACATATTTGCCCAGTGTTAGAATTTATAGTATTTTATGCTATAATTCCTTGAATTCGTAATGTGGATATCCTAATTGCAGTCGTAACTTAATTGTGTACCGGTACTGTTGTTAGTATCAATGGTATCATTATCAAGTTGTTTTTTTTCAGCAGGGCAGAGACATAGCTCTGTTACTAAGGGTTTTAATGGTGGGAGTACTACTTTATGACTACATAGTGTGTGTGGTGTGCTCAGAATAGATTTACGTTCGTGTTCACAGATAATCTTTGCTATACCTCAACTAATTACATGACTGAATGTCCAAAAATATTTGCTTTCATTACCGTAAACTTCCATGTTAGTTTTGTATTGTTTGAAATAAATACATTAATATTAAACAGTTGACAGATTTTTAGATATTTTATCAAGTGCAATGTAGGCCTACCTGTTTCTGAATTCTTTTTACGTGGACATAAATCCGCAGATATGTGGATGCGTATGGTGCAGGCCCAATTTTTTTCAAAGGGCTGTCATCAGTTCCCACCAAAATATATTATTGTATGCGCAATTCCACATAAATATGCCCTTTGAAGATTTTGATGGAATTGATGGTTGTTTCGAACAGTGGCATGCTAGCAATAAAAATATAGAAAAGTCTTCCTTTCAGGTACCAGTAATCAACTATGCGATCATACTTTTCTCTTTGCATCCCCTTGCTCGTACTTATACCAGTAAACTGACTAGTGCTCCTACGACTAGTCGGATAGCTGTAAACGGTTAGAACTGGACGGTTAAACGGTTCGAATTCAACGGTACGGTTATTCGGAGATGTCCCCATTACATAGAGTTGTGTCTGATTATATTCCTCTTTATAACAAAACTTGCCCGTTGTCATTTTGTATTTGATGTTTGAAAATCTTAGAATGTAACAGTTGTCCTACGATGTCGACTGCTAAAAAATAATACTATTAATAGCACTCGTCGTAGTCATACGGCAAAGTCAACGGACCTTGTTCTGACTTTAGCTATTGTTAATCCAATCTAAATACTTCTCGGCATTTCTAACTATATTCTACCTTGTTTATTATTTACTTCAAAACGTAACCACCATTCAAAATATAATCATAAAGGCTAGAAAATGACATTATACTAGATTCGTTACGACATTGAACACGTTTCATATCTCGTAATTTCTCGCAAGATTTCTACTTTGGTTTTTAGTTAAATTAACCAATCATAAAAATTCTACTTGCAAGCGAGGAATTATTTCCTTATTGTCCAATCAATAGACGCCTTCCAATTTACTTTATTCTATTCTTAGTAACATTGTGTAATCGTAATATAGTATTGTTTTGTATATTAGCGTTATATTGAATTAAAAAATGTCTCAAATGAACCAAGTTAACCAGGTAAACAAATAACTACGACCTTAGATAGTTTAAATTTTCATTAAAGAATTGTACATGTCTTAAAAAAATTCCTGAAATTTTTGCGCGTGTAATGCCTTTTATAAGGCGAGTATAGTGTGCGCACGAGTAATGACTTGCACCTCCTGACAAGCTCTGTTTTATGTTTAAAATTGATACCGTACAGTTAACAGTTACTAACCGGTTAATAGCTACGGCTATTCGAATAAAAAAAAGTCTTAACCGTAGGAGCACTAAAACTGACGGACAAAAAATTCATTAAACGAAAAAAAATAGCGCAGTGATCCATGATGAATACCGAGTAGGTTTAGGTGGATTAAGTATCAGTGTGTGAAATAGCTTTATATAAAGTCTGTTTCCACCTAAATCATATAGCTGGCATACAGATATTGCTGATATACAAATTAAAATATTTACAAGGTGATTAGCGAAAAATTGAACAGATTAAAGAAATATTTAAATATATATGTACACAACAGATGAAACATTTAATGATGGGGCCTAATTCATTAAATACCCTGCACAGATTTCCATGCCCGTGTGCAGATTAGTCAACAAAAATTAGACACAGATTCGCGCATGCACAGGGGAAATCTGTCTGCAAGGTGTAGTCTGCACTCATCATAGACGTAAAACATGTGACAAATAGTGTGGGCTGTATAAAAACAAATCATGTTGGCTGTAGTATAATAACAAAGTGGGCTGTAGTATAATAACAAATGATGTGGGCTGTAGTATAAAATCAAATGTGGTGGGCTGTAGTATAAAAACAAATGATATTGGGCAGCTGTACATGTAGTATAAAAACAAATGATGTTGGCTGTAGTATAAAAACAAATGATGTTGGGCCGCTGTAGTATAAAAACAAATGATGTTGGGCCGCTGTAGTATAAAGTATAAAAACAAATGTTGTTGGGCCGCTGTAGTATAAAAACAAATGATGTTGGGCCGCTGTAGTATAAAAACAAATGATGTTGGGCCGCTGTAGTATAAAAACAAATGAGTATAAAAACAAATGATGTTGGCTGTAGTATAAAAACAAATGATGTTGGCTGTAGTATAATAACAAATGGTGACGTGGGCTGTAGTATAAAACCCAATGTATAAAACTGTGCATTCAGTGGTATAGAAATTAATGTGTCAACTATTTGTTTATTTTCTAGGGAGGTCAGGAAGCGAAAGAAACCAGGGTGGACCTGGAGAAACCCCCACCTCCTCCCTTTATGCAACCAGGTGTGGATGATTTCAAGAATTTTGATATAGTTAGAGCCGTACAATATGGGGTGTTTGATCGAGTACGGGAATTGGTGGATGCCGGATATGATGTTAATGAAATGGATAAAGAAAATGTCAGCCTTCTTCATTGGGCTGCCATCAACAACAGAGCTGACATTGTGAAGTAAGTTGGTGCTTTTAAAAGTTAAAAACTTCTATTCATTTAACTTAAAGATACATTATGTAAAATTTAGATAAAGAGCTGGTCATTCTTGCTACATATATAATAGTTCAAAAATAGATAATGCAAAATGAATATATTGAAAATTTCATTCAAATTACCGGTACTTTATTCTGATCGAAGTTATCACTCGTAGTAGTTTTGACACGATGTGTACATTAATTATTTATTATCGTAAACACGGTTCTGGTTACATCAAGACTTAGCTTCACTTCTCTGTTTTTAAATTAAATCTTAAATGGCCGAACCGTTCCATTCTACTTAAAATCAGAGCCATCTGATGGCCTTGAGAGTTGATTATGGTCTTGTCATGTTAATAAATGTCTAATTAAGGCCTAAAGAAAGATCTGCAATAGGCAGATTTAGCTCTTGATTGAATAATGCATCTTTGAGATTAAAGAATAAAGAAGGGTAATATGTATGTGCGGTTTAGTTCAATTATTGCATTCCATCGACAAAAATATTGTACAGCACGAGACCATAACATTGTAAGGTCCATTTATTTTTCACAAAGGGTTGAGAGGTCGAGTAGTCTTTTACGTCATAAGGGTTGTCCTCGAGTCATGTTAGAAAAAATAAGCGAAAACGCCGTTGTCTGGGCCAAATATCCCTCATACATACCTGTTTTCATTAGCCCTATTAGTATGGAAAATTATACATTAAATCCCATGTCAGTCAAAATTAATTATGTTTTTCAATGCTTCATGAATTGATTGAGTTTTAGTATTTACATGTTCCCACATGTTCCACTGACATGTGGGTTTTAAAAGGAAAAGACACACATCATTAATGTCATAAACCATGTAGAAATAACATGTATTATTGACTGATTGATTGATTGATTGATTGATGTTATCAATACTACAGTCCATATGATGATGATCAATGATGTATATTGGTTAGAGGGCTATTAATCAAACTTAATGTACACCTTGATTTGATGTACAGGTGTATGTGATGCTGACAGGTGTATTTATATTTTAAAGTGTGATGCAGGACGGATGGCCTGACAAGGGAACTGTCTAGTCATGAGGATGGGACGAAAAACAGAGGTCTCTTGTACACATTGCCGTGCACGTAAAAGATTTCTTAAGAGTTGGAATTCGATATAAGAGTAGGCCGTAGTGCCGCTCTCCTGGCAAAATTTCCCTCGTGGCACACTGTATGGCGTATGCCCGTCTTCATTAGCCCAGTTTGGAGCAGAACATTAGGACGTTAAAACCCCATTTCATTTCATTTCATTTCATAATATTTCAAGGTACAACCACTAAAGAATAGTGCTGGCAGTATATATCATTGAATCAATGTATTGCGATTTACCGTCTCACGATTCTTGTATTGAATTGTGTGACGCTGAATCAATGTAATGCAATTCTTTTTTTATGTTTTTTTTTTTTTGTCTCTTCAGTAAGTAACCTGTCACTTTTAATTATCCACATCACACATTATTTATAGGTACACAAACTCAAACACTGTTAAATTGTTTTTGTCCCCCGCCTTTCGAAGAAAGCAGGGGACTATTAAAATGGGTTCGTCCGTCTGTCTGTCTGTCCGTCTGCCGTCTGTCTGTCCGTCTGTCTGTCTGTCACACTTTTTGGGACACAATAACTCTCTTCCTAATTGAGCTAGAATGTTCAAACTTGGTGTATGTGTTTATTAGGTCAATGCCTTGATGGAGTTCGAAGATGAGCATTTTCCGCTTAGGGTAAGCAGAGATAAGCAATTTGATTGGTTGATGCTTTGGGACACGATAACTCTCTTCCTAATTGGGCTAGAATGTTCAAACTTGGTGTATGTGTTGATTAGGTCAATGCCTTGATGGAGTTCGAAGATGAGCATTTTCCGCTTAGGGTAAGCAGAGATAAGCAATTTGATTGGTTGATGCTTTGGGACACGATAACTTTTAATTGAGCTAGAATGTTCAAACTTGGTGTATGTGTGCACAACTTGCAGCAAGATGGAAAATAGACCCGTTGATACAACCAAACTCTAGATTTGTAGGCATAGAGCATGTTTTCCCCTTAATATGCTATAATTATTCCATCAAAAACATTGTATGCTTAGACTATAAGTAAAGATATACTGTTTGATTGTTCAATACTTTGTAAAAGATAATTTGTGATAAATTTATATGTGTCCTCTAATTATTTTCCTATTTCGGCGGGGGACATCAGCCTCACTGTTGGCTTGTGGTCCTTATTTTGATCCACATCAATATCATGATATAAAACAGTTTTATTCTTCGACATCGGCAGGACTAAAAATATCAATTATTCATTTATCCTGGTTTTTTTTTTTGTTTGGTAAATATTGACTTGGTTATGAATCGTGATATGAATCGTATCGTAGCACGTGAATCACAATACGTATCATATTGTGGCTGCAGTGGCAATACCCAGCACTACTATAGAATGACGTTGTATAGCTGTCAGCAAATATAAATAATATGTACTACAAGGAATTAACATATAAAATGTGTAATTTAAGATAGGCTGAATGATATTCTTGATAATGTCATATATTGAGATATGAATTTATAGGACAATATTTTTTGTCTTTGATAAAAATCACGATAATCCCATTTATCGCGACTACCACTTATTATACAATATATGAAGATACTTTTCTACTAAATTATTAAAAATAAATGAATAAAAATGATAATTTTTTTTACACAAAATGGTCTGTTCTCAATCCCACAACAAGATTCGGAATGGCTGGGGGTGATGAAGAAATGTCAATTGGAATAAAATTATTTGTAGATTTCACCGGATTTTATGAATTATCTTCATACACAGTATATCGTGATTTAATTTATCGATATTGCGATAAAGATTATTTGTAATATTGTCTAGCGGCTAGCCCTGTGGTAAAACCAGGAATCATTGTTATATAATAATTTATGATTTATCAACACTCAAATTAACAACCATAAACACTTCAATTCTCTAACATTTAAAGTACTGGATACCATATTTATCCTGGAAATCAGCATCATTTTCATGATCCTGTAAACCAGCATTAACTTCATGACCTCATATTAGCATTAATAGTTGCATTTATTTCTTATTTTCCCAATCTGATTAAAACACAGATCCTATTTCGTTTTGTTTTTTATAGTTCAAAATTTCGTTTTATTTGTCTTTACTACACTATGATCTGAAAGAGTTGTTATATTACCAGCGTTTTGGTTGAAGTGAGGGATTAGCCAACGCTGATTGATTAAGCAATGCCTGATGTCATAGGGTCAAAAGCCGCTCTTACGACCCCTGACACGAATTTCCAGTACAACTTGTCTGATCTTCATGTAGTGTATAGAAAAACAAAACGAAATATAGATCTCTATTTAATCAGGTTTGTATTTTCCATAATTGTTTTCCTTTGAATAACGCCCATATAAACAAATTAAATGATCATCTTGTTTTTTAGGTATTTGATATCTAAAGGTAGTATAATAGATAGATTTGGTGGAGATTTAAATTCTACTGCTCTTCATTGGGCAACAAGGTAAATTATAAAATACTGTTTATATCTTAGTATTCATCAGTCAATATGGTAGCTAAGATGCAAATAACAGCTGAATCTCTCTTGAATTCGGATGATCTGGTGTGTGATATCACTTAGTCATGGGGAAAAGCTGTGTGATTACAGTCTGCATATGATTACATTCAATTGGTCATGGGAAAACCTCAATGATTCGATCAGTTGGTCATGGGAAAACCTCAGTGATTCGTTCAATTGGTCATGCGGAAAACCTCAATGATTCGATCAGTTGGTCATGCGAAAAACCTCAATGATTCATTCAATTAAGTCATTCAATTAAGTTGTGTGAAAAATCTATGATTACATACAATAAGTCATGTGAAAAATCTGTATGATTACATTCATGGGGAAAAGCTCTATTTTATCACATTCAATTAGTCATGGTAAAATATGTATATACGATTACATTCAATTAGTCACGAGAACAAATAAATATGATTACATTCAATTGGTCTTGGGAAAAGTTGTATAGGATTAAATTCAATTAGTCATGGGAAAATCTCAATGATTACATTCAAATGGTCATGGAAAAAAAATGTATGTACCTATTATTTTGTATGATTTACAAATAAGGTCTACATGTATAAGTTTATTATTTTATTTTCACTGGTTCTGATATTTATTTCAGACAAGGTCATTTAAATATGTTGGTATTATTGATGTCGTATGGTGCAGACCCGTCTTTACGTGATGGGGAAGGTAAGTTACATCTCAGGAATTCAGAAGTGTATATAAGGTTTGGATGGGCATGAATAGGCTAAAATATTAAGATTTTTTGGGGCAATATTTTTTAAACGAAAAGAAGCCAGATATTGAAGAAAAGCGTCTAGTTGCTGGCTTCTAGACCTGATAACTGAGCCTTTATTCAAGAGGATTGTGATCGCTTCATCTCAAATTATCTCCACTACAACAGATATAGCAATGCCATAGTCCTGAAAGGTCGTAAGTGCTACTTATGATGGGGGGGGGTTGGATGGTCAAATGGTTAGCGTATGCGCATTGTATCATAAGGTCTGTCATTGAGTGAATCCCCGGTTGTACGTGACAAGGAGTAGGGTCGCCTGTCCAACCTCGTGGGTTTTCTCCGTGTCCTCCTGTTTCATCCCACTGCTAAAGACCCCTATGCGCAAGCGAATTATTGAAATAAAATTAAACCATACGTTAGTCCCGAAATGACCTAGTTTGTGTCGAGTGGACGTTAAACCCCATTTCTCTCTCTCTCTCTCTCTCTCTCTCTCTCTCTCTCTCTCTCTCTCTCTGTCATTGAGTCAACTAATGTGGTTTCGATTCTCCGGTGTACATCACAAGAAGTAGGGTCACCTGTTCAGCCTGGTGGGTTTTCTCCGGGTCCTCCGGTTTCTGCCCACTGCTAATGCCCCCTACGCGCAAGCGAATTAATGAAATATAATTGATCTAGTTTGTGAGTGTACGTTAAACCCCATTTCTCTCTCACAAACGTAAAGTGAAGACCATTTCTTCTTCGGAAATAATCATAATATGTGGCATATTTTATTTACTACAGGTTGTAGCTGTATACATCTATCAGCACAGTTTGGTCACACAGCTTTAGTGGCATATTTAATAGCAAAAGGTCAAGAGGTGGATATGGTTGATAGAAATGGTATGACCGCTTTAATGTGGTCATCACAACGTGTCTTTGGGTATAATAATTTATATTATAATAAATCTTGGCATTACTTTAAATATTATTATCCAACAACCTACCTATGGGTATTCTGTTTAAAATTGCTGAAATGACTTTTTGAAAATAATTTTTTATATGGTTGATTGTTGGAATAGGCCATTTCATGGTTTTGAAATAGGAGCTCAAGGGAGGCAACTGATTTTCTGGACACATTCATAGTCTTGAAACCTTAAGCTTTACTCCACATAAGAATTTACCTAATGTCAGCAATGTAAAAATTTTTACTACATACCACTTGATATCATTCAATAAAAGAACCCAACAAATTCAGAGAATTCACAATAAAATTTCAGCATTGCGTGACATTGGTGAAAAAGGATCCTAGTTGTTGTTGCTTGCAGGAATTCATTGCCAGTCAGTTACTGAAACAAGGGAAATAACTCTTGGCAGGATTGACGTAGAAACAACAAAACTGAAAAACTGAAAGCAGTGATTATTGGTCATTTCAGTCAAAATATAAAAATTCCTACATGCTGAGTTACGCACCATAAGGGTTAGGGTTAGGTAATGCTAACCTTATCCTTAAACGAGAATTACTTAAAGACAATTTTCTCACTCCTCCACCCCCACGATTAGCATGAAAATAGGCAACACCGTTCATTTAGTAAGAGATGCGACATATTTGGGGATATTTCTAAAATGAATAAGTTTATTGTTGTTTGATTGACAGGTTTGATCCCACACGATTATTACTGACGTTCGGAGCCTCGGTTAATAAACCTGACGAGAACCTGGGTAATACGCCACTGATGTATGCGTGTTCAACGGGTAACCATGTTGTTGTCAGATTGTTGTTGAACCATGGAGCAGAAATAGAAATAACCAATACAAAAGTAAGTTAAATGAAATGAAATGGGATCAAACACAGGAACCTCCAGGTTAGCAAGCCAATGTCTTACTCATTGAGCCATTGTGTTGAAATTTTTACCTGGGTAACATGAGGGGGAGAGAGAGAGAGAAATGGGGTTTAATGCCCACTCGACACAAACTTGGACATTTCAATAATTTGCATAGGGGTCTTTAGCAGTGGGAGGAAACAGGAGGATCAGGAGAAAACCCATGAGGTTGGACGGCGACCCTAATCCTTACCACTTGACTCAATAATAGACCTTGTGATTTCACGTGCATGTGTTAAACCATTTGCCCCCACCTCTTAAAACATATGGAATTGTTGCAGGTTACATCTTGTAAAATAACTGGCTATACATACCCGGGTCATTGTTTACTGTACTTAATGGTAGACCACTCTCCGTTTCTTAAAACGTCTCCCGCTCACTTGGCAGTCGGCTCCCCCGATTTCAAAATTGTATGCCATTAAGGCTGAAGTTGGTTACCCTTGATTCAACACTAATGCTAAAGTAGGAAGTGCTCAGATACGACAGAATTCCAACCAAATGGCTCTTTGACACAGATCAGCCAATCCCAAAGAAGATGTGTGAGCAGTATCGTGAAGTAATCAAGCATTGATTTGTCAGTCCTACTTTCATTTGATTTCTTATTTCAACTGCTTCTGTATTTCAGGGTCAGACTGCTGTCGATTTTGCTTTGGAAGCTAAAAATCCCCCGTTAGTAAGAAAATTACGAGAAGAAAATGCAGCTCGATTGGCTAAAAAAGGTGGAGTTTTAGGCAGATTAACTACTGATAAAGTAAGGTTTTAATTCATCTTCGACAGACTGAAGAGTGAGAGAAATGGGGTTTAACATCCACTCGACACAAACTAGATCATTTAGGGACTAACACATGGTTCAATTTTATTTCAATAATTTGCTTCCGCGTAGGGATCTTTAGTAGTTGGAGGAAACCGGAGGACACGTAGAAAACCCACGATGTTGGATAGGCGACCCTACTCCTTGTCACATACAACCGAGGAATCAAAACCATGGCAGTTGACTCAGTGACAGGCCTTATGATACAGCATGCATCCCCCCCCCCCCACGAACTGAAGATTCTTACATCTGGTCTATTTGTCAATCCCGACAGACTGGTGATTGAATAGATGAAATGAAATGGGGTTTAACGTCCTACTGTTCTACTCCTATACTGGGATAATGAAGACGGGCATACACCATACAGTGTGCTATGAGGAACAGCGGCACTATGGCCTACTCTTATATCAAATTCCAACTGCCAAGGGATCTTTTACATGCTTGCAATTGTATACACGGGACCATGGTTTTTCATACCATCTGAACGACTAGACAGCTGTCCTTATCAGGCCCTGCACCACTGACAAGGTGAGACCACGTCGAAAAATCCTGATAAATTTCCTTGGCCAATGCAGGGATCGAACACGCGACCTCCAGGCTATCGAGCCAGCATCTTACCCACTGTGGCTCAGGTGATTGAATAGATAATATTTTCCATTGATGGCAGAACTTTGTCATATATCACACTTCAACTTATATATGGACAGTGGTTTGTCTACGATATCACCCTCAGTGGATGCAGAATTAAGACCTGTATTAAACATACATTATGCAAGAGGTAAATCTGCCTATTGCAGGTCTTTCTTTAGGCCTGAAATGTTATCTGAATTATTAATTACACATTAATTAACTTATCCAGGCCATAATCCACTCTTGATGGCATCGCTAGACTGCGATGTTTACTGGATTAGAACCCGGTCTGCTGCTTCTCATTAAATCAAAAAATGGATAATCGAGACTTGTTTTTTTATCGTACCATCTTTAGTAATGATGATTGAGCATTTTGGCTGAAATTTCAGCATATTCTATTTACATTATCTATTATTCAACTATTATAGCGAGAACTGTCAACACTTGATCTAATCTCCCATAATCCCCCTTTAATTGTTTTTTGTGTGTTGATATTTTTCAGGTGATAAAGAAATATATAATGTATATAATTCCGTTTCTTGTGATATTTGTTGTTGGTTATATACCTGAGAGTAATATAGACTGGTATGCTAAACTATGTCTAGGTATTGTAGCAGTTATAGCGTTTAGATTTTTAAAAACGTAAGTATGTCTAGATCTCTTAAACAATATTAAATATAGCTGTGTGATAGATCGTAAACGCTACAATGGTTTCCCCTTGTCAGTGGTGCATTTAGATTTATAAAAACATAAGTATGTCTAAATCTCTATAAACTATGTCTAGCTGTTCTAGCAGTTATAGCATTTAGATTTATAAAAACATAAGTATATCTAGATCTCTAAACTACAGTAAATACAACTGTGTGATAGATCATAACCACTCAATCCCACACCTCAACAGACTTGCTAGCCTGGATTTCACGGGTTCACTCCCGGTATTGGCTGAGAAAGTTTATTGGGATTTTCCGGTGTGGTTTCCCCTTGTCAGTGATGCAGGAAATAGGGTCTGACAAGAACAACTGTCTAGTTGTATGAATGGGACAGAAAAACGATGTTCCGTGTAGACATTGACTTGCTCTTAAAAGATCTCTTAACAGTTGGAATTGGAAATATGAGTAGGCCGAAGCGGAAATAACGCTTAGTGAGCCAGTGTCTACTCAACAAACCACTCTAAGGAATGAAATTAGTAGACAGTAGAACAATTCTAATATTGAATTGAATCTGGTACCAAATGTTCAAAAAAGGACCAGCATACCCTGGAAATTTCTTAGCTATAGTTCTGTGTGTATTATTTTTGGAAATAAGGATTGAATTTGTGGATCCTTCAGAGGCGATAATTTTTGATCCATTCAGATGAAATGTTGTTGTGAAGCATTGGGACAATGAGAGGATGAGCCTTTTCCATCTCTTGCAAAATGTGGGCGTATCTTGCATGGCAATCACTAGTTTGGATAAGGATTGAATCAAAAGATGTTGATATTATTTTATTTTATTTGACAGGATGTTTTTAGATGAGAGTGTGACACATATAATGCCTGTAGCTATTTATTTAGCCACCAAGTTTTGGATGGTATATACGTGGATTTTCTATCTAATACCATGTATCCTTTATCTAGTCTCTATCATCCAGAAAAATATTCTACGATGTTGACAACGTTCCAAGGCTATGAGACCAGGAGATTCTGGGTGACCGAGACTATCGTTTATCATAATATAAACAAAGTATAAATAGCATCCGCTACAAATCAGTTACTCACGATTAGTCCCTGCGTTATTCTAATCTTGTCTCCAACCTCATGGGTTTTCTCTGGGTCCTGCGGTTTCCTCCCACTGCTAAGGACCCCTTAAATAAAACTGAACCATATGTTAATCCCAAAATGACCCAGTGTATGTGTTGAGTGGACGTTAATTCCTATTTCTCTCTCTCCCTATTAGAAAATCAAGTCCATTGAGATAATACAGTCCAATTATAAGAAAATTAGAAATTAGACAATAGAGTCCAAGTATAAGACAATACAGTCCAATCCTAAAACAAATCAAAGTGTACAGTAACGATTCAGATTGTTGGACTCAGACTAGCAATTATTTGCCCATTGACTTCAATGTTAAATGCTGTAACATCACAGGCTGTAGCTTTTTGCCCAACATTCCGTTGGTTCCAATCTTTATAGGCACAATGGGGACAACATTTGGCAATCTCCTCATCATAATTTTGTAGGGGGTTGACCGTTTAGATTTTTTGCTACACGGATTTGAAGTTGACAGGGGTGAAAATCTCACTTCCGACACAATGATTGCTCTGCAGAAAGACACTTTACACCCCCTATCCCTTCGCTGTAATATCATCAGTATTACCCAAAACTGCTATGAAATTGCAAATTTGATCCCTTTTCTCCAATTCTAGACCAAAAAGTCAACCCAAAAATGCAGGAAGAGGGGAGAAAAAAATTAAGGGAAAAATTGTCTATTTATAACTCGCACTACATTCGTCCATCATGAAATAAGGGGAAATAATTACTAGTCTTAGTCCTGTTGGAACAAGATGCAGGTTACTTCCCTTTATTTTTATTTATTGAAGTTTTGGACTATGTGTCTCCCCTGTGAATGGGACCAGGGGTTAGTGGAATTGAATGGAATGATACCACTAGGGATACGTTAGACTTAAGACAATGCATCAATTCTATGGAATTCGCTGCCACCTTGCTTTCAAAAATGTGAAGCATTAGTTTAAACTATATTTTATTCATTTGAAAAGGATTGAACAACAGGCAAAGCCTATATAAGTTCTATGGAATTCGCTGCCACCTTGTATTCAAAAATGTGAAGCATTGCCTCCTATCTTCAAACAAAGTGTAAGAACCGGGGCCCTGTTTCACGAAATTTTAACTAAAGATGAAATCCAAATTTTAGTAGATACTTCAATTTTGATTGGCTAAGCACTAAAATCAATCTAATATTATCCAATCAAATTACTAAAATTTGGATTTTATCTTAGTTAAAATTTCGTGAAACAGGGCCCTGGCTGTTTAGTCACTATAATTAACCCACGTGAACACTTTAATGTGTCTATAGCATCCCCAAGTGGGATGAATTGATGCTCAATATAAAATTTGTTATTATTATTATTTCGTTATTATTATTAATCTTTAACTATATATAGATATACATTCTAGAAATCAACATGTAGCTTTTATGATCAACATTTTACTACTCACGTATTTTTTCTATAAAGCCTTGAAAACAGATCCAGGTTATTTAAAAAATAATAGAGAAGATAAAATAAGGGTAGGTATACATATATATATATATATCAGTTGACCCACTAAAACGAGTACAGCATTGGAACTATACCATTCATATTTCACATGTGGTACAATATGGATATTTGACAACTTCAGAAGTGTGATGTGATTTCTCAGTCTGGCAAAGCATAATTTGACATTCTTTTTTAAAATTCATATTAATGATACATTAAGAGAAGATAAAATAAGGGTAGGTTTATATATCTGTTGATCCACAAAAACCGAGTAGAGTATTGTACCAATGACATTTTACATGTGGTACAGTAGGGTTGGGTGGTCATTGGGTGTATGTGACAAGGAGTAGGATCACCTGTTCAACCACGTGGCTTTTCTCTGGTTCCTCTGGTTTCCTCCCACTGTTCAAGACCCCTACGCGCAAGCGAATTAATGAAATAAAACTGCACCATATGCTAGTCCTGAAATTACCTAGTTTGTGTCGAGTAGATGTTAGAACACATTTCTCTCTCCCTGTCTCCATTCACATTTCACATGTGGTACAATAGGGATGTGTGGGGGGTTGGATGGCCGAATGGTTAGCACGCGCGCGCTGTATCATACGGTCTGTCATTGAGTCAACTGGCAGGGTTTTGATTCCCCGGTTGTACGTGACAAGGAGTGGGGTCGCCAGTCCAACCTCGTGGCTTTTTTCCGGGTCCTCCGGTTTCCTCCCACTGCTAAAGACCCCTGCACAAGCGAATTATTGAAATAAAATTGAACCGTGTGTTAGTCCCGAAATGACCTAGTTTGTGTCTAGTGGACGTTAAACCCCATGTTTGACAACTTCACTCCAATATTCAGAAGTTTGATGTGACTTCTCAGTCTGGCAAAGCATAATTTTCCAGCATGATTTCCATTTTTGGTTCAGGACAAAGGGACAATGTGTAGTCATTTGGATAGGATTGAAAGCTGAGGTCCTGTATACACGTTGCCGTGCTCGTACAATATCCCTTGGCAGTTGGAATTTTATATAAGAGTAGCCTGTAGCACGTGATTTTCGTACAAACAGGGGCCATAATCCATGAAGTTTCGATCCGATACATGCCAATATGGAAAGCAGCCGAGATCTTTTGGCCGGACAAAATTCCCTTTAAGACACACCACATGGTGTATGCCCACCTTCATTAGCTCAGTAGGAAGTTTAACCCCATTTCATTTCCTTATATAAAGGACGATATTATTATTTTATTTCAGACGATATTAGATTTAGCAGAAACCCAGACTTTAACGTTAGATCAGTTTTGTAGCACGTGTTTAATACGCAGACCGTTAAGATCTAAACATTGTTCTATATGTAATAAATGTGTGGCGAAATTTGATCATCATTGTCCCTGGATTGATAACTGTGTTGGTAAGTCATCTCCTTTATTAGATCATACATAACACGCTTATCAATAGGGATTCACAGAATTGCAATCGAGTGACGCGGAATTCAGTCCTGTCACAGTTCTGTCAGTCCCAACAATAGAGGTGGTGTGAGTAGAGTCGTGACGTAATTAAATACAGCGAATATGTTTCGGCTGCCTTGTTGGTTGAGATATTTTCTTATTCAGTCCAAAATACTCCTTTTCACTCGATTGTCACTATTTTTGGGATTGACAGAATTCAAATCTGGAACTACTCCTTCATATTTCCGGGGTTAAAGGAAAGTAACTCCTTTAAGCATGTTAAACCATATTAATAAACCTATTGTTCTGATTATCGGATACCACAGCATCACTTGAAAAGGTCCATTTATGAACTTTTTATTTGAAAAACATCATTATAGATTATTGCTTACTTCCTCAGTCAAAGGGAAGTAACTCCATTAAGTATTGTTTTGTTGCAACTTGCAGTGTACCATAGACTCAGATATCAGTTATACAACCCTGATAAATGTTTTTGAGAATTATAAATGGTACTGGCCAGTCATAAATCGTACTGGGTAGTGATAATTATCCTGCAAAGTAGTGAGAAAAATTGACTAAATTATTCTCCATATGGATGAGACATTGATAGAGCACCATACTCATCAGAGCTTTAAAATTAGATTCTCTTCGCATATCAACTTGAATTCAGTCTATGATAATAATATTGTTATTTATAATTATAAAAGCATGTCACTCAATGACAGATATATGATCTAAACCAGGGGTGTCAAACTCATTTCGATCCAGGGGTCACATGAACTAAAATTTTACATCACGTGGGCTGGAGATATACAAAAATATCCAGATAAAGAAAATTTTATTGTTTTATTTGAATAAAATCGATACGTAATGCAACACAATTCATTGAAATGGACCAAATTAGCCATACCTCTTACATATCTATGACATACAGTACAGAAGTCAGAGTTTTACTAAAACCAGAAAACAATAATAAATGATTTCCTCTGTTAGATTCTGAGAATTATCGACACGCCAGTTTGTTGGAATTTGTTCCACGGGCCACATTTAAACCCTTGGCAGGCTGCATGTTTGACACTCCTGATCTAGAACATGTACGTTTGACCATTCGAATGAAAATAATCAGTATATAATTATAATGTTGTTATTTTAGGTGCCTTAAATCATAAATATTTCCTGGGTTATCTGTTTTTCTTGATGGGTATGATTACATGGTGTTTATATGGATGTTATCTGTGTAAGTATTAAAATAACTATATTACGTTACATGATTTACATCATCAGACAGCTTTAGGATGCTTAATTTTCTTTGTCATTCGGTTTCCCCCCATTACTACAAACCCCTATGTGTAAGTATTCAACACCATTTCAATATCTTTTAGAAGCCAAATCAATATATCCAGTATCGGAACAGTTGTTTTTGGCTCAGTGAGTAAGATGTTGACTCACTAGCCTGGAGGTTGTGTGTTAGATCCTTGTCGGTGGTGCAGGACGGAGGGCCTGACAAGGACAGCTCTCTAGTCATTCGGATGGGATGAAAAACCGAGGCCCTCTGTATACATTGATGTGCACGTAAAAGATCCCTTGGCAGTTAGTGCCATTGCCCGGGCAAAATTTCCCTCATAGCACACTGCATGGCGTATCCTTGTCTTCATTAGCCCAATATAGGAGCGGTACCCTATTTTATTTCATTTCATCGTTCAATAAGATATATGACTTACGTCATCACCAAGGATCAGACAGCTTTAGGATGCTTAATTTTCTTCGTGTCATCCGGTTTCTCCCCACTACTAAAAGCTCCTATGTGTAAAGTATTAAACAACATTTCAATATGCTTTAGGACCCGAAACAACATTATATATTAAATATGTTTTAGGAGCTGAAACAATATATCCGGTATCGGAACGATTGTTTTTTGCTCATAGCCCACTGTATGGCGTATGCCCGTCTTTATTAGCCCAGTCAGAACAGTAAAATTTTAAACCTCATTTCCTTTCAATATATTCGCATCAATAATCAGTTCCAGGTTGATTAGAGAGAGAAAATGGGTTAACGTTCACTCATCTAGGTCATTTTGGGACTAACATATGGTTCAATTTTATTTCAATAATTTGCTTGCATGTATGGGTTAGCTGTTGGAGGAAACCCACAAGGTTGAACAGGCGACCATACTCCTTGTGACGTACATGCAGGGAATCGAAACCACACCACTCGACTCAATGACACATCTTATGATCTAATGCATTAAACCATTCGACGACCCAACCCTCATTATTTTACATGGAGACCTGTTTGTTTTCTTCCAGTTTTTAGTGCGGAACTATCCTTTGATTTTTATGAGGAAGGTATAACTGGTTCGTTACGAAAGATATTTAGAGTATCACCATGGGTCGGATGGATTGGTGCTAACGCCATCTGTCACATGATCTGGGTTTCATGTTTATTCATCTGTCAATTATATCAGGTCAGTTTCTACTTTCGTTTTAATCCTATCAACTTCACTATATTTTAATAACCTTCACACTTTCTCTTTATAATTGATTAAACAGTATATAAAATCAATCCGTTCGATTCTCACTATATTAACATACAATAGAAAACACCTGTATTTATATACCTGGGTCAATTCTCATCAATATAAAATTTCTACTAGAACACAAGGCTGGTTGACCTCACTTTTGTGCATTAGAACTTTTGGTATTCGGCCACCTTATCAGGTTTTCATTTATTTTGTGTGAGCCTACAACACTGGGTTGAAGTAATTTGTGTGAGCCTACAACACTGGGTTGAAGTAATTTCTGTGAGCCTACAACACTAGGTTGAAGTAATTTGTGTGAGCCTACAACACTGGGTTGAAGTAATTTGTGTGAGCTTACAACACTAAGTTGAGGTACTTTGACTGAATTTACAACACTAAGTTGAGGTAATTTGTGTGAGCATACAACACTGGGTTGAGGTAATTTGTGTGAGCTTACAATTCTGGGTTGAAATAATTTGTGTGAGCCTACAACACTGGCTTGAAGTAATTTGTGTGAGCTTACAACACTGGGTTGAAGTAATTTGTGTGAGCTTACAACACTAAGTTGAGGTACTTTGACTGAGTTTACAACACTAAGTTAAGGTAATTTGTCTGAGCATACAACACTGGATTGAGGTAATTTGTATGAGCTTACAATTCTGGGTTGAGGTAATTTGTGTGAGCCTACAGTAATACTAAGTTTAGGTTATTTGTGTGAGCTTACAGCATTGGGTTGAGGTAATTTGTGTGAGCTTATAACATTGAGTCAAGACATATAATAGTTTGAATTGGATTGATCAGGAAACTTTATTTTTGAACTAATGTTCTTCTCTATTTTATAGATCATGTGGTTAGGGATGACATCCAATGAAAGATTAAATAGTTACAGATATTCCATATTTCACGATAAACAGCCTGAAGCTGGTGGTCATAGTCATCAACATTCAGATAATTGTCATCATGATCAAAAAGATCCTAAAATAAGCAGCCCTTTCCAGTAAGTACCTATCACAATATCTTTCTACTCTTGTATAATGTTAAAGATGGATTATACAAGAGCTAAACTTGTATATTGCTAGGAGTTTTTTCTGGCTTCAAATGTTATATAAATTATTATTTTGTCATTTATCCACATTTCAAGCCCATATTGGATGGCTTGGATATTGAGTGAATTAAATAATACCCACTATATCTGCGTTAAATAGAGCTGGCACTGACAGATACTCGATAAAAGGACCTCATTTATTATCATGACAATGGTTCTTGACAATCAGGAATTGTCAGGAGACAATTTAAGGCGATTTCTTGTCAATACTTCAAACATTGATAACTTCGCTTAGAATAAAGTAGGCCCTTATTTGACTAAAATTGTCAATATATTCTCTTTCCATTGCTCTCTCTTTAAATCTTGCATAATGTGTCTTTAATGATTGCCTATTCTACAGGAATATATATCTTTCTACAGTTTAATAATGGTAATCATTGCCCATAACAGTAACAACCCACTGGAATATATCTTGAAAAAAAAACTTTCGGAAAAATCACATTTTTTTTTACAATAAAAGGACAATTTGTCTTATCTTACAGACAAATACTTTAGTTTGAATCATTGTCATTGTGTTTCCAATTTTTCTTTTCAGTCGAGGGATTTTCCAGAATTTAAACGATATTTTAAAAATACGAATCTTTGGGATATTGAGACCACTGCAAGTTGATTGGACGACCAAATATGAGTTAAATGAAAGTGATAACTTACGACACAGAAAACCTTTCAACTCTCCACGAGAAAACTACCAGTTTGTTTAAAATGGACAATCTCTACCATACTGGCTGAACTGTAGTGGTTAACGACTGGATAATCTTGTCCAGACTGAGGAACTCTTAGATAAAAACTGACTCAACTCTAGTTATTTACAACTCGATAATCTCAACCAGACTGGCTGAACTCTAGTTAACAACTGCCTGAACTGTAGTTATTAACAACTGTAAAATCTCGACCAGACTGGTTGAACTCTAGATATTAACAACTGGATTATCTCGACCAGATTAGCTGAACTCTAGATATTAACAACTGGATAATCTCGACCAGACTGGCTCAACTCTAGATAACAACTGGCTCAACTTTAGTTATTTACAACTGGATAATCTCAACGAGCCTTGAATTCCTTTTCTCTATATTATCAACTTTCTCTTCTCTAGCTTAAAGTTATATTGTCTCTCTCTAATTATTATGTCTGATCAGGTTCATATTATTTTACTAGACGAAATAAGTCAACCACGATGTACTTTTGCTCTAGAAATAAGAGAAAAACTGCCAGATCAGACATGATAATTGTGTAGCAATATTATTTTCAGTAAGCTGAAAGTGAAAAAACGTCATCAGTCAGGAGGTAATTGGTAGTTGAAATATTGCTAGCCGGATGTGGATACTGTGTTTGACAAGGCATATACTGGATGTGGGCGTAGCCTCTCTCTGTTTTTGTAAGCCTGGGCAATCGCCATGTTTGTTGTACAACTTGAAAACAAGTATGGCGATTGTTTAAGGTATGAAATTTTTTTTTATTTAATTATTTCTTGTAATTGGAGTTCAGGTTTAAGCTGTGACAAAATATATATTTATATATCGGAGGACCTCACCAAGTCTAAATCAGATATTGGTCCTTGAGGGGTCTGTTGGCAGTAAATTATGAAATAACAGCCTCCAGTAAATTTAAAATGTTAAAAAAAAGATCTTTAGAAATCCCATAAGTTGTTTTGTGATAAAAATAACCCAACATTTGTGTAAATTTCACAAAACGATTTATAAAATTATTATTATTTTGTGACTAATTTTAGGATCAGATCTTTAAATATGATTATAGTAAATAAACATTATTTATTTAAGAATTGCTGAAGTTTTTCCAGAAGGACTTGGCATATTAAAATGAATCATATACAAATATTGCTAGAAGCCAAATTTGTCAAGCTGTTAAAGATTGCATTATGTAAGAGCTAAATCTGCCTATTGTAGGCGATTTTTATGGGTCAAATGTCATATATAAACTATTATTTAGACATTTATTAACATAACAAACCCATAATTAACTCTCTAGAACATCGGGTGGCAGAGATCTTGAATGAAATAGAAAACTGTCATTTAATAATTTAATGTTAAAATGGACAATTAATACTGATATTTTGTTTATTAGCGTAACAATGGTACATGACAATCATGACTATTTCGGGTAAAATTTGTCAGAACTTCAAACATTCATAACTATGCTCAGAATAAAGTAATTTGCCGGAAATTTTCAATATATTCATTTTGAATTAGTTATTATAGCAAAGACGACCAGTTCTTTATCTAAATCTTACATAATGTATCTTTAAATCTAATATTATAGATATTTTTTAATATCACTTATTATATAATTAAGTATTGCTCAATATACATCTATTGTAATCTTAAATAAACTATTTTAAAGACGTATTTAAACAGGACATCATGTTTCTGAAATCATCTTAATTAAATTTAAAATGTATCATCAGGCCAGGTTCCGATTTCACAAAATATTCTCAGACTTAAGTTAAAGCGAAAATTTCATATTTTTAAGTTATATTTTTAAAATGTATTAAAATAAAGCCTTAAAATAGATGGTATCCATAAACAGTCCTACCTTGTTAAAGAATAATCCTATTAATCCTATAATTCACTATTGCCAACTGTGAAATTGGCAAAAATATCATTTTCAACTTCAAATTCAAACATTTGAAGATATCTATTCCATGGGTAGGGTGACCCATGCACTCTACAGAAATACAGTCCACCGCTGATAGTTCGAGACTACCACTGACGCGTGCACATTCGCCGTTTCGAGACCAACTTTCTGACAGTATGATACTATAAATAGCCATGGCACGTGCAATTCTCTACAAATCTATCAACTATTACAGCCGTAAAAAATTTATTGTTGACGATTTTGAATAGCAGTAAAATTAAGCTTCATAGCTATTACAGCAGATTTAGAAATTACGTTTGTTTCATTTTTTAAATCGCTTTATCATTAACTGTACCGTTAAGAGCGGCATCTTTTGGTTAGGTACAAATAATATCTCTGAAACACTCGGGTTAGACAGGAACATGATACTAGCAGTAGTTTCATATTACTTTTACAAGCTTCTTAAAACAATTGTTGAGCTAGCTAACGTGCTTATTTCTAAATTCAATTTCTTGTTCTAGCTTTCTGTTATGTTTTGTAAAAAAGTAGTCTTGATTATCCCGACCTGTCAATCAGACGTAGAATGGTCGATAGACTGGTTAAGCAAGACTAATTTCAAAACAAGGACACGTAACCTATCTTTTACTCAAAAGTGTCTGGATGTTATGGGCGACACTTGGAACCAGTTTTCAGTCTATTATTTATAGATGATTAATGGTCATAGTTTATTAAGTACAACATGATCGTTTATTTAGTGACTATAATTGTGTGAAACTGATTTGAGGCTTGGCATATTTATAAATATTGTGGCGTAATTGTCGAGATATTTGGAGATATTTATTTATGGTGGGTCACCCTACCATGGGGGGAATAGAAAAACAAGGGAGGTAATTGTGTTATTATTTCCGTTGTGAAGATTTTTAAGTGTGAGAAAGATAACCTATGATCGTATAATAGTGACTTGACAACCTATTGAGCAAAAGACATAAAAATAATTATGTTTTGACTTTCTTATAAAATATGAAATTCTCGCTTTAAGAATTTACTCAGAAATGTTTGCCATATTTTAACTAAAATATAGCCCTTTAAAAACTTTTGTTGTTTTAATGTATCAAATACATCAATAAGAAACTATGTGCAAAGTTTTATGTTTCTAGATCAAAGATATTTCTCATAAACAGTGATTGAAAGTTGAGTAAATTCTTAAATGAAGTCTGAAAATGCTTTGTGAACTTGGGGACAGGTCACAATTGACAATGTATCCAAATACCGCTAATTAATCATACATTCAAATGACATCCACCGCCATTCTACAGTTTTAACTGTCATCACCTTGTTACTATTCCAATCCAATATTTACCACTTTGTGTGACCATGACACTTCTCACATGAACCTAGACAACAGGGGCCTGTTTCACAAAATTTTAACTAAGATAAAATCCAAATTTTAGTAGATACTTCAATTTTTATTGGCTAATCACAGAAATCAATCTAATATTATCCAATCAAATTACTAAAATTTGGATTTTATCTTAGTTAAAATTTCGTGAAACCGGCCCCCCGATTTCTCTCATCTCAAGTATTATTTATTTAAATGTATTAATGCTGTTTTGTATTCAATATGTCATGTTTATCTACTGGTTGGTTTATAACAAGTGGCCGTCAGTGATTGGTTGAAATAAAAGTCTAAGTCTATAGGGCTCTTATTCACGAATATTTAACGTAAACTAAAATATTTTAATAATTCGGCATTTTCATTGGTTGAGAATTTAACTTAGCATTTAACCAGTCAAAAGGGAGCATTCTTAAAATATTTCAGCTTTAAACCAATCAAAAGAGGGCATTCTTGAAAATATTTTAGTCTAAGTCTATAGGGCTCTTATTCACGAATATTTAACGTAAACTAAAATATTTTAATAATTCGGCATTTTCATTGGTTGAGAATTTAACTTAGCATTTAACCAGTCAAAAGGGAGCATTCTTAAAATATTTCAGCTTTAAACCAATCAAAAGAGGGCATTCTTGAAAATATTTTAGTTTTAAGATTATATGAATATATATCAAGGGTAACAGTAGGCGGAATCATTTTAAAACCACCCATTTTTGTTTTTTAAACTAAATTTCATGGCAGCAAGAAAACCACCTCGTAACCAGATTTGTAATGGTTTTTTTTTTAATATGTAAATAATCTTTTTCTACTAAAATATCTTTATATTCTCATCAACGAATTATCATGTATTTGGTAACCAGTGTCAAAATTTGAAAAAAAAAGTTAGAATTATAAACAGTCTGTTCTGATAGAGTGTGAAGATGATTTCTTAAAATCCGACAGCTGTCAGTCGGTTTCAGTTGACAAAAAAAATTATTTTAGGGATCAATAATCTCCTGTGGAGACAAGCAGCAAACAGTCATATTTAATCTTGTTTATTTTCATGCCTTTGGTATAAGCAGATGTTAAATAAAGCTATTTCATTCATATACACGTCTTATTCTTGACGGTACAATAGCTAAACCAGTTTAACAATATCCAAAGATATAAAATCGGCTGAAGTTTGTCTTCTGAATGTCGTTTCGCGATTCAAACACTCGTTGCTTCATACATAATTTGGTTTAAAAAATGGACCGTTTCTGAATACATTCAAAATGGAATCGGGTATTAATTGTGCCAAAATTTGTGACCATAAAGTAGGATAAACTTTAATTTTAATAGAGAAATATTCACATCATTTTAAAATAACCTTATAATATACTTGTACCAAGTAGAGGCCACAGATTAATAGTTTTACAGATGAAATATAATAATAGATAGAAATTGACTTAAATACCTTTTATTGGGATAATGCTAAATGATAAGGCCAGCTCAACTTTTCGTCATAGGTCACAAGATGTAAACAGGGCTAGCGCTAATCCCAACCCTAACCCTAACCCCAATGCTTACACTAACACTAAACTACAATCTCGACATTATGATCACATGCCCTAACCTTATTTACATCTCAGCGACCTAGACAAAAATTGAGCTGGCTTTAACAAATAGATTTAACCCTTGTATTGCGTGGAAGGCTAACTTTGTCCTTGTCACTCTGAACACGACAATGACTGTTAATAATTGTATACGATATCATTATTCATAACAGAAAAAAAAACCAATTCCTTGCCTTACTAAAAGTCAGGTATTTTTAACAAATGTTAGTTAAACTCCGTGAAAACCACTAGAAATTTGTACGATCCGAAAATTAACATTTTAGGCTCTTCTACTATCTCGGCGGTGGTTTGACTTATTTCAGATTTTGTAAACAAACCGATGTAAATTTGTATTCAGTTCGGAAATCACCAAAGTGTTAATGCCTTATTGAGAGGTTTGAACCATAAAAGGTATTTTAGACCAGAACAAAATGGATAGCTTTTGTTTATCAGTTGTTTTAGCTATTATGCATTATTCTATGTTCTTTAAATCATTAAATTGTGTGTGTATATATTAACTGTAATTTTATGTTAAGTAAATCATTAAATTCGTAGAAATAATCCAATTTCATTTACTGTGAATATATTTAGTGTTATTTTGTATATATTGTAGTGTAATTTTGAAGATAACAGTGTTTAATTGACACGTTTGTTGCTTTATACCTGTGTGCTTTAATGTTATAAATACCCTTTTTATATACTGTTTACCTGTCTACGACCTGGCCCAGGTTTCAAAAAGAATTCTCAGACTTAAGTTAAGAATTTACTTAACTTTCGATCGCTGTTTATGAGAAATATCTTTGATCTAGAAACACAAACCTTTGCACATAGTTTCTCATTGATGTATTTGATACAATAAAAAAAAAAGTTTTATAAAGGGCTATATGTTAGATAAAAAAGGCGAACAATTTTGTGTAAATTCTTAAATTAAGTCTGAGAATGTTTTGTCAATCTGTTTAGAACACAGAACCAATTTTGTTTCGTTTTTTATAGATTTAAATTCGATTTATTTGTCTGTAGGATCTCGAACAGTTGGTATATAACCTGCTTTCTGGATGGCATGAGGGATTAGCCAACGAAACCATCTGTTACGGCGACTTCTTGGCATGCGATCTAGGGAACTGTGGGTAATCCACCAGAAACGTCAAGGCTGATTGATTAATCAATGTTTGACGTCATAGGGTCAAAAACCTAATGTACGACCTCTGACACGACCTTTCACTACAACCAGTCAGATCTTCATGTAGTGTAGGCCATCGAAAGTATAAAAAAAAAACGAAACGAAATATAGATCTGTCTTTTAATCAGATTGATGATTTGTAAAACCGGGGCCAGGGTGCTCGTTGAAGCAAGTGTTCGCTGATTAGGAGTGCACGCCCGAGCAAGTTCTACTGTATTATGAATACATCTGTTTTGTTTTAATTGCTCATGTATAACACTGTTAGAGTATTGTTTCACATCATATAGTGTAACTTATCACCCTAGCTTTAATCTATTAATTTATTTTACTGTTTCACATATTTAAAGAGGCTTCAGAACCTTGAACTAGAACAAAAATATCAGAGCATTGTTCACGACAGTCCAATGAAATGAAATAGGGCAGTGGGCTATGCAGTGTGCTATGAGGAAAAAAATGAACTGTCGACAACATGAACTGTCGACAACCACTATAGGTTACAATGCTTATGTTTGTACAGAGTCTTAAAAGCCGCTGTAACTAGATCAACCTCAAAGTTTTCAGGTAATCAAATCAGAACGTCCCTGGATACTCAAATCACTGCAAATCTGAAATTATTAAATTACCGATCGACAAAGAACCTCAAGGTGCTGCACAGAGTCTGAAAATGGTCATAAGGTTATCTCAATGATTAATTTGCAAGCCTCGCTCAAAGCGTGCGCAAAATGTTTTGAGACATTTATTATAACTGTATATTCGAATCGCGTTAAATCCAAAAATATTCTTCAGACTGACAACAATCTCCAAGGTGCTGCTGATGTCTCTTTGCCCATTTCTATGTTTGTTTCTCTGTTTTTTTTGAAAAAATATTGATAATGTCATAATATTTGAGATAATGTGTAGAATTTGTTTATATATATAGTAATTAATTATTGACTTATCATCCTTGTTTGATTTTAATAAAACTTTAATATTATTAACTTAACCCTCAACCGTATTTATTTATTCTCTTTACTTGCTGGCAGCAAAATAAAAGCTGGGTTTTCATATCTGCATATATTATTTTAGAGGCATTTATGACTGGATAGCAATAAACTAGAACACATAATCATGGAAAACATATACTGTTTTTCTTGGACTATGAAAGAGAGGTGTGGTAGCTCAGTGAGTAAGACGTTGAACCAGGTGTTCGATCCCGGTGATGGCTGATAAAGTTCATGGGGATTTTCCTGCACGGTTTCAACTTGTCATTGGTGCAGAAGTAGGTGGGGTGGGACGTTAAACTGCGTTTCTTTTCATTTCATGGTACCGGTAACCCTAAACCTAGCATTTTGAGATAATGATAAATGATAAGATAAGATAAGATTTTATTGCATCGAAACATCCATTTAGGACAGCATACAATATAAACATGTACATAAAATTATAACAATATGACAATTATAACATAAGACACACAGTATTGCATCGGAACCTCCCTTGAGGACAACATACAATATACAAAATATTAAGTACAGGTGCATCGGAACCTCCCTTGAGGACAACATACAATATACAAAATATACAGGTGCAAAAAATTGGACGGATACAAAAATATGGACGGACATAAATTCAGAGCACTCATAAATAAACAGTATGAAACCTACATATGAAACAAAACGTACAAAGTATTAAATCACATAACTCGACAGTATAGGTACATAACATATCAAAATACAAAACAAAGCGTGCGCACATAAAAGAAAATAAAATATCATGCATATTTAACAGTTCAGATGTCTCTCCTAAGAAAAGAGAGGTAGACAAAGTCTGCGACACTTAAGTGGCTATAATACTCGGTGGGTCGAATAGATTTTCAAATAAAAAGGTTAGACCAGTATTGTCAAGAGTTTGATATATATATATATTGTTTTCTTAAATCTTCATATTTTTGGCATTCCATAAGAAAATGTTGTTCAGATTCAATTTTGCTTGCATTGCATTTTTTACAGAAGCGATCCTGGGGTGGTATCTTAAGATATCTACCCCTTTCAATGGCAAGCTGGTGAGTACTTAATCGTAGGGTAGACATCGCAATTTTGAACTTCTTCTTATTAAAGATGGGTTCCCAGAAAAGTATTTATCGGGTGGTTATTTCCAATAAAAGTATGGCAATTTTGGTATATATGGAAAGTAGAGATATCCAATCTTACTAGAAAAATACTGGATTCCCCGAAAAACATTCATGGAGCGTATACAGGACAAAAATGTAAGGGTTCCCCTAATCAACAGCCCGACGATTAAGAACTTCTGCACGCGTGATGTCAAAGGTCACAAGCGAACATTGAGCGCTTGATGTACAAGTTGATAAACTTTATGAAGGGTTAGACGTACAATACTTTCTGAGATAAAAATGAAGAAAAAAGGCGCGGGTAGTGGATAATCCGAGAATTTAATTAGGATTCGATATTTGTAATAAATAGTAAGCGATTAAAGACAATATCGTCTTATGTATGCAATGAATTCTCCTCTGACTCCAAGAACGTGACGTAAACATGGCCTGGTTTGATCGAATTTTAATAGCAGGGCATTCCTTCGCAATTACAATGTTTGAGAAGGATTTGAAGCATAATTATGACAAATTAATTAATTTGAATATGTTTTTGGTCCATATATACCATTAAATCACCAAGTTTGTACGCGGGAACCCATCTTTAACAACCTCTAGATATTTTGGAGTGTTATTGAATTTCTTTTTGAATACTCCGAAGGTTCTGAGTTTATGGTTCGACCCGCAAGATTCAGCAAGGGGATCGTTAAACATACTTTCTATTGAACTTTTAATATTCTGTCTCGAAATTGTTGTTGGAGAAATGTCATATTTTTTGAAGATATTTTGGATAGCCGCATACCAGGAGAGTTTTGGGTTTGATTGCGAAATTTTTATGTCTTCCTGGTATGCAGAATTCAGTAATGAGTTACTTAAGTTATTGCTATTTTCGTTTAGTCTTTTATAGTACATAGCCATTCTTTGGAGTATATCGATATTAACAGGAAAAATTCCTAATTCAGCCAGGCAGCCTATATTTGATGCTTTTAATGGCTGTGTAAGGATAGATTTACATATTTTAATGGTCATTTTATTCGTATTTATTTTATCCCAATTTTCTATCTCAAAGTTCTTACTGAACACTAAATTATCCCCCCAAACCTCTGAACCATATAAAGCTATTTGTTTCACGACTGATTCATAAAGTTTTATCAGAACATGTGTTGGAAGGCGATTAGATGTAAAGACTTTATGTCTTAAGCTAAACCAGGCTCTCCTAGCCTTCTTTTCCAAGTTCACAATAGCTGATTTAAAAGACCCGTTATCATTTATGAAAATGCCTAGGTAAAGATAAGATTTTACAATATCTAAATTGACGTGGCCAAAGACAAATTTTTTTGTTGTTTTTTTTTCTTTTTGTTTTTAAAGATCATAACTCTGCTTTTATCTTTATTGAGATCGTCAGCAAAGAGCAGATGGGATAGACCAGTAGTATTTAATATAGGATAATTATCACTGTCTGTAGAATTGTCTAAGTATTGGTTTAAATCATTGATATAAATATTAAAAAATGTAGGACTTAAAACACATCCTGCAAAGTTATGATCATATTTGTAACATATTTAGAACTCTGGTTAATCCCGATTGGTTTTGTTACGTACTAATACTGGTTGTTGATCGGACTGTTAACCATTCATACTTTGGGACAGAAATATGCACTAAATATGGCAGTGTTTAAGTGGGATCAGGCCTGATCAAACGAAACACTGTGAGAAGTATGTACACCAGCTTCTTGCGAAAACCTATGAACAAGAGCTAAATCTGCCGATTGCAGGTCTTTTTTGGGGCCTTAAATGTTATATAAATTATTAGACATTTATTAATATGCCAAGACCATAATCAACCTTTGATGCTATTAGATGGCTCCAATTTCAAGTAGATTAGAACGGTTCGGTCATTTAATGATTATATTTAAAATTGGAGAAGCGCGACTAAGACTAGAATGACCATTAAAGAGGTTACGATCAATACACACATCTTGCCAAAACTACAACCATTGGACACTTAGCTTAAAATAAAGTATCTATTAGCTATTTTTAAAATATTATAGCGAGAACGGCCAGCTCTTTATCTAAATCTTACATAATGCACTTTTAAATGAATTAATTGGAAGAGTCCTTAAACATACATTATGCAAGAGCTAAATCTGATTATTGCAAGTCTTAATTTAGGCTTCAGATGTTATAGAAATTATAAATTAGATCTTTATTTAAACAACAAGCCCAAAATCAACTCTGTAGCCCCACGGATGGCTCGGCTACAGCTCGGATTTAAATAGGATTTCACTAATTGATTAAATCAAATATGGGGCAACCTGATCAAAATACGTCAGTTAGATCGAGGCTTAATGATAGAGTGTACTTAGCGAGGCCGCTGTAGAGCGTTTCCGTTAGTCTCGGTCACCCAGAACCTCCTATTCTTCAACATACGGAGGGTCTGGGAAGGTTGTCAATATTTGACGTAAAGTCCATTGCCCATGCGTAACCGGGAGTTTGGTTTTTAATGTGGTTGATTATCCAGTCTCTTTAGCCAAGTCAAGTAAGAGTTGCGCCCCTTCCCACAATAAATCCCATAATTCTTGCATTAATATAAACAAACATGAATCGTGAGACGAATAAGGATTAATTTTAAAAGCATAGATATGGCCCATGAAGAGAGAAATTTTACAATAAAAATTAAGAGTGTTAGATATTGAACTCGCATGCAATCAAATGGATTTTTTGAAATGACATTCTTAAATTAATTTCATGGGCGTAAACATCTTGTTTTAAGAGGAGTTACCTCCCTTAGACATTGTTTATGATAATGTGAAAGACCGGATTATCTAGCCAATTTTTCTCAAATGTTGACAACCTGTCCAGACTAATATTCGTAGAATATTTTTCTGGATGACAGAGACTACGTTTCCGTATGCCATTTTACTTGATAATCGAGATATGTAGGTGGAGTTAACGCCTGTCAATCAACCGATCTGCCAAGGTGAAGACGCATTTCGCTACCATTTCTAGTCAAATATTACAACGATGATAACTATGTTCAGAATAAAGTAATTTGACTGAAATTTTCAATATATTCTTCTTTCATCATCTACTTTGAACTGTTATAGCAAGAATGGCCAACTCTCTATAAAAATCTCCCATAATGTATCTTTAAATAACTTTATAAACTAACAGTAATTTAATCATTGGTTTCCTGACCTTTGTTTTACGTTAGAAAACTATTGCAAGACTTACTTAAATCTCAGAAAACTAGCGTTAAATTAACGGTTAGGATCTTGACATAAAACTAACGTTAGATTTACGTTAGAAGACTGACTATAAACTAACGGTTAGAAGTCTGACGACAAAATTAGATTGAGGGGGGTTGGATGGCTGAATGGTTAGCACGTGCTTGTTGTATCATATTCATAAGGTCTGTCATTGAGTCAACTGGCGTGGTTTCGAATCCCCGGTTGTACGTGGCACGGAGTAGGGTCGCCTGTCCAACCTCTTGGGTTTTCTCCGGTTTCCTCCCACTGCTAAAGACCCCTACGCACAAGCGAATTATAGAAATAAAATTGAACCATGTGTTAGTCCCGAAATGACCTAGTTTGTGTCGAGTGGACGTTAAACTCCATTTCTCTCTCTCTCTCTCTCTCTCTCTCTCTCTCTCTCTCTCTCACGTAAGATTAAAATCTTTAAAAGGCATTTAGTGAAAGCGATATATAATAATAGAAAGCTTAGCTTTATGGATAACATTCACTAGGTTTATTAACTGCAACGTTTATTGCTTGATAACTGTGAGAGTGTCCTTATTGAAACGTTGCAGTTAACAAACCTAGTGAATGTTACCCATAAAGCTGTCTGTTATTATCAGATTAACATCCAATAATATGTAGTACGGTAGAGGGCA